ATTAACTTCTCTTCCCACTGCTGTCCTCACCCATCCTTTAGTCAGACTTCGTAAATAATCCTCACGTATCACAAATCACGACTTTAGCAGTGACCATACGAAAGAACGAAGCGAAAACAAAGAATAAGTTCCATCAGCGTTGATCGAATATGCCCCCACTCGTTAATAGTTCCTTCCTCCACTGTAGTTGTGAATCCACTGAATCGTGACTTTGGCTGTGACTATACGAGCGAATCAAAAATAAAGAACTAGTTCCTTAAGTAAGCGATGGTGCAAATATGCCCACCACTCGTTAAAAGTTCTTCCCATCCTTTTGTCAGATTTCACAGTGACTAGCCGATCACTGGCTGGCTCATCGCTGTTGTTTTGACAGTTCCCATTTGAATCGATTGTTGATAATGATGATGATGGCGATGAAGATGAAGATGAGCTGTTGATGGCAATGACGATGATGAATCGCTGGCCTGACAAACGCTGCATTTCCCTTTCACAGCAGTTCCCATTTCACATCACATATAAATAGCTTTGAATTTAAAAGATGTATATTTACAGCAGCTGTTCGAGCAGCTGCAACTACCTGATGGTAAGCTGCTAGGGTAAACATGTCTCTTTGTTATGCGTATTACTTTTGACTGAAACGAACCGAGTGCTTGTTCCTTCAGCTCCTGCTGCTGATGTTTCTTTTGCTGCTACGAATGCGTTAAGCTGGAAGAAGCTCTTTCTTTGATTGGTTGTTGGATGCTGTTGGCTGGGGTTAGTTTTTTTATACTCTTGTAGAGGGTATAATGGAATATGAAAAGCATACAACGAGACATCTCCGACCCCATGAAAAATACATATTCTATATCAATATCAACGGTGTCGAGTTGATATAGCCATGTGCGTCTGTCCGTCTGTTCGTTTCTATGCAAAGCAGTCCCTCAATCGTCTTAAAACTTTGCAAGCTTTAGGCCCTCATGTGTCGGAACTGGACATCTATAATATATAGCTGCAATAGGAAAGATCGCTCGAAATACTTGGTTCTTGTACTCTGTATTCTCACAAATCTGCAAAAGGCAAATGCCTGCAAGGGTATTAAATCTTCGGCGTGCCATAGATATACTTATTTTCTCGTATTTGATTGATTTTTGTTTGAACTTGGCATTTGATGGTATTTGCCTGCTGGCTAAGCTGCCATGGATTGGCTTTCAAATGCTGAAGCTGGCAAGGAACTTGAAAACTAAAACACCCTAATCAATATCAATCCAAGACGCACTTGCAGCTAGTGCTTAGAGTTAACTCAGCTCTTAAGACAAGAAGAAACTAACGCTGTTCTTTTTTTATAAATCCTGAGCTATTTATTTGCCTGTCTTTTTCCCAATTCATTTGCTTTCTTGAAAACAACAGCATTTTTTTTGCTTTTGATTGTTATTAGAAATAATATTTGGCTTATACCTCGCTTTTATTTTGCTCTCCCTCTCTATCCCTTTCTCTTTCTCTGTCCCTCTGTCTCACTCTCTCTCTCTCTCTCTCTCTCTCTCTCTCTCTCTCTCTGTCTCGGACTCCCTATCTTTTCTTGCTGCGTTGACATTGCGTATTTGGTCTGTTCTTGTTTATTGTTGCTTTGTTGCCATTGTTTGTTTTGAAATACTCGCATAAATCCATTACGTCTCCCATTGCAGTTGCCCCTTTCGGAATCGTGCTGATTTATGCATTATAATTAACGCTATCTGCTCGCATGCAGCATTAATTTAGCAAATCCGATGAAATTGCTATAAAAACTAAAAGAGAATTTCAGCACGTGCTGCTGCAGCCATTGATGGAAATTTAATGAACTGTCAAAGCTGTGCGCGGTGCAACGTTGCGTATGTGTGATTTATGTGCAACCAGTTAACGAGAAAAATCTATTTAAACTCCCATATAAATGAAACAGTTTGAAAATGGAAACTCAAATTCCCTCACAGCCAGCAAATAGTTAGTTGTTAAAAAGTAAATGGATGCCGACGCCCGAACACGTGCATATTATAGCAACAAATTGTACAGAGTTCTAAATGTAGGTACTAAAATGTGAGAACTCATTCGAAAATATTATTTGTACTAAATAACGTCGACAGACGGCAGCCAGGCTGCAACGGATCAGGTATTTTAAAGGGTGGACCATTCAAAAAACTTAAATATTTCTCTGGCTTCTTGAATTTTGTATTTAATACGTGTGTGCAAATTAAAACGAATAGGAATTGTTTTGTCACCCGCCACCCGCTCCCCTCTGGTTTTTAACTGACGCCCGCAGATACTGATGATATATGGCTGTGATTGCAATCCGAAGCGTTTCAATTGTGAATCAAAAGCAAATGCCTGAAATATATCTGTTGCTTTGTGGCTGGAGAAGATGCCAGTGGGGGAAGGGTTTAAATCGAGGGTGGTCTAAATGCATTTCCGCACGGTCGGGTGCATGTGTGTAATACTTTAATAAAGACACGAAGAGCGAACATGCGAATGGGCGAGAGTGAGAGCGACAGATGCCCCAACATGCCGCGGAATTCCTTGGCAGCCAGGCACTTTATCAACTTCCGGCTTGAGAGCGATGTCGACATGGGGGGGCGACAGGACAACGGCAGGAAGAACGCAAATCAAGCGAGGCAAGCTCTTTGAAAACTTGCGGCGTAGCCAGAGAATTCGCGGAAGCTTGCCACATCGCAATGAGGCGTGCAACGTGGCAGCTCCACGCCCCACGCCTCTCGCCACAGCTTGAGTGTACACTCCTTTGCATATTTTAGGAAGTGATTGCGCAAATGCATAATTTAATGACAGGCGAATGCGTCTGATGCGACAGATAAATGGGACAAAAGGGTAAGACGAGCTGCCATTCTGATGGCGTGCTAAGAGAGAACGAGAGGGAGAGACAAAAAAGAGAGAGGGAGACAGACGCGAGATATAAATTTAACTTATTCTGAATTTAAGACTGACTTAAGAAATTTGATTAAAGTTATTTCATTATAATAGAATACAAATAAATATTTACAAATAAAAAGTAAAAAGTAAAAAGTAAAAACTTTTTGTTATTTCTTGTCATGTTTTTATTGCTCTACATTTTGTGTAGGCATTTATTTGAGTCTACTTCCCGTTTGGCCCTCTCTCCACCCCTTTTCTGGAAAGTAAAATTGCCTGTGTAACTTTTGTTTCGGGGCAACTTTTCGAACAAGGACTGCCAAAATCAAAGCCATTTTCAACGCAGCGCTTATCAATTTGCAAAGCACATGGCCCATAAACTTATTCAATTTGCTGCCATATGTTGCAACAACTTCCGCCTCGTAGCCAGATTCCCCACAGACGTTGCAGTTTAATTGGAAACAAACCAAAAAAGTTATGCGACCAACTTGCCAAATGGCCGTCTTCGCCTCGCCTCGGTCCCATTGGATTGTCATAATTAAATAACCTAACAAGCTGCCCAACTATTTGTTTGAATGGGTGGCTAGAAGGCTAGGTGGGTGGGGTTCTGTTCATGCACTGCCAATAAATGTAACTGTAACCAACAGTGGCACACTTGAAATATGCATAAGGTCATAATAATTAAATATCACTCATACGCACTGGTTAACAATATTACGAGCATCTCGACATACAATAAACAAGGCACTCGCTTGTCCTCGCTTACGCAACAACACGTTCAGACAAATGACAACAGCAACAACAACAGCAGCAGCAACAACAAGAACAACAGCAACAACAACACCAATAATTTGCCAGTGTGTTTTTGGTCAGTTATGGCATTTAATTTATAGACTACGTAGTCTGCCTGCATTCAGAATCTCTAGCCCTCACGCTCTGCATATTTCTATCTCTCGCTCTTGGTTTCGGTTATATGCTCATTACACTTTGCAACAAAAACACTAATATTAATGTCTAAGTATGATATGAGATTTGAATTCCGAAAGAGTAAATCAAACACTTCACTATTATAAAAACACGTCATAATTTAATAAAATACAAAAGCGTAAAGTTGTTCTTTTCAATTGGACAAGGAAAACAGAGCAAGATTTCCGAAATATTTGTGTATATGTCTAGTATATTTGTTCGATATTTATCAATACAACATGATAAAAAAAATTATAATAAAGTTGCCTGTAGGACATACGAGAAACTGTATATAAATTTAGTTCAGTGTACAAAAATCATTTTGTATTTCATATGAACACAACTAAAGATATATTGAATTTCAAATTAATTATGTTGCATAGTGTAGCTTTAGCTGAGCCTTATGCATAATTGAGTTCTGTGCATGAGTATAATTGTGTGTGTGTGTGTTTGTGTGTGTGTGTTTGTGTGTCAGAGTATTAAGAACAATGCGAGATATTCTCTCGCATATAACATAATTCAATTGAAGTTGTTGCAAAACTCTTAGTAAAATATTTGTGCAGCAGGCACAACATTTCCAGAGAAAAAAGGGACAAGGGACAACAACTAACCGTCAGCTCGCCTTATCAATGAATGCTTTATTGGTGGACTTAAGCGCTGTTGGACTTAAGCAACTGCTCATTATCCTCGACAGGCTGCAAAAGGAGCTTAGCAGTGCTCGAAAACATTGCCGGGAGAAAACTGAAATCAATTAGCTGACACTTTGTGCTGTGCTGCAACTTCTGCTGCCTCAGCAGAATCCGTTGCATTTGTGTGCGTGTGCGTATGTGTGTGTGTGTGTGTGTGTGTGTGTGTGTGTGTTCAGGCGTCAAAGACTCCTGCATTGTTCAAGCTTGAGGGCATAATCCTGTCTAAGCCCACTCTGAAAAATACAACCACATAATAAGAGCACAGACAAAGGCAAGATTAAAAGCTTTTTTTTTCAATGCAGCCGCATCAGAATACTCTTTAAAGTGCTGTATGAGCTTCATTATTATACATAAATCTAAGCTCGCATTGGTCTCTAGTACTCTGACGAATATAATATTGTTTTAATGAACTCTTGACCTGACTTGTCAGTCAATCACTCAGTTTTTTATATATAATTTAAATGATATATACATTACCTGTTCAAAAAAATGGATCCGCATCTGTTTATTTGCCATTTTATATCTCTTCTGCCTTTTATCAAACCTTAATACGAATATCTTTAAAGTTGCTGAGTACGCATACGCCCAGTTGGCTGCTGAAAAGAAAAGTTAAGCGATGCAAAAATTATTCGAGTTTAAAGCAGTTTGTTTGAGCAACTTTTCATCTTGGCAAGAAGTGCTTAGTGTTAGCTATCAATAGAGTTTAATTGCCAATGAGCTGGCAAAGTTTTATGAACTCAAGAGTCAATCTGAATTTAGTAAAAGTTGTTATATTATCCGATTAATGCCTTAAGTGCTTAAGATAGAAACACGCTTATCACGTCTAGAGTTACCTGCGCACAGATTGAAGGGCTAACGATTACGGCCTTGGTTTAATAACCAATTCCGGCCATGAAACAAACCAATTGACAGGCTGAAGCTCTCGTGTTAAGCCCAGCTAAACACTCGAATGGCGCCTGAACAATGCCCGCCTTTGTTGTTGTTTATCAGCAGCACGAGAGTGCTGCAATGGGCCGCCAATTTATTGCAACATCTCGAACTCAAACCCCTCAAGTCACGCCCCTAAAGCCTATTCCGTTCAATGCTCGCATGCTAATTACCAAACGAAATTGGCTTGCAGCCTGAAACTGGCCTCTCAACTCCCTCTGAGCGGGTTGCCGATTTGCATTTCGTGTAATTTGGTCGAGATTTGGAACTGAGATTATCGAGGGGTTGCGAAGTTTGCAATCCCGTCGCAGTTGTTGCAGGAATTATGACCGACAAGAAGTGGGGCCAAGATGGCCACCTCGTTTGCGGTCTTGTGTGGGCGGCTGCGGGGGCTCAAATGACCAGCAGCTGCAGCACACTATGTATCGAATCCTATTTCAGTCCGGACCTGATTAATATCTTATACTTATTAGCCATTCAGCCCACTTTAGGCCTACGCAAGTGGGCCACAAGAAGACAGCCACCCTGGACAGCGTCAGAAATTGCCTTCAATTCGATTCAATTTCAGTCAGAAGGAAAGCTCCTCGCTGTCAGTCATTTGCGTACAAGTAACCCCGTCTCCAGGCGAGCACCAGGCAACCGCTTGGCTCCATGCTTGGCTGCCCAGTGGGTCTTCTTCGTGACCCTGTCGACGGCGCTAAACGCATTCAACGCTATTCAAATTGCGTATCCATCTTCATTTATTTCATTTTCCTGTAATTTCCTGACATTTTTGCTGATATTTTGCTGCCCGCGTTCCCGGAACTCAAATTCCTATACTGCCCGCCCCGCCCGCAAACTAGCAGCACGTCTTGGCTAGGTCTCTGCTCGGAAATGGAATAGTGCGCCAACTTTTCGCTTGAATTGGCAATCGTTACACCTCAGTGTCCTCAGTCTTAGAACCATGCCCACGGCCACACCCACGCCTACTGGCTGCAGTTGCCAGCAACCGCAATGCCTCAACCTCTGCCACGCTCATAGCCATTTGTTGTCTGTGGTTTTGTGGCGGTTGCAGCAACGGGACAACCTGTAATCGTTCTTTTGCGCCACATTTAAAATGTCTCCGGGAGTTTTGCCCGTCTCTTCCAGTTTCGCTCTCCCCTTCCAGCGCTAGCCTGCCCCCGTGTCCATTCGTTCATGTCTTGTTAGCGTAAATCAAGCGTAACAAAGCGCCGCACGGCATGCACAAGTCAGAGGGGGCAGGAGTGGAAGAAAATGCCAAGATGAGGCATTGGTCTCCTGCTCCTGCTCCTGCTGCTGTTCATGCTCCTGGATCGACTTCTCCTTCATCCAAGTTGTCGCAACTGGCGGGCAAAAAGACGCTGGCAAATTTATTATGGCGCTCAAACGTAAACTAAACTGCTCCTCTGGGACCTGAAAGTGGATTGAGTTGGGTTAGGAACTGATGCTCCTCCTGCTGATGCAGCTGCTGCTGCTGCTGCTGGCCACGACTCCCGTGCTGACACTGCCCTTTTGGCAAGTGGACAATGCTGATAAAGCGCAAGAAGATCTGCGTTCCAGAAATGCTTTAGAATGCGACCGGAGCCTAAATTGAATTCTTATTGTGCTTAAATTAAATAAAATCTGACTGCAGAATAGCTTCCTTTTAAATAAAAAATCTTTACTTTCTGTGAATATGGGATTATAAGGAGACTAGCTCTGACAAATAAACTGGAAGTCTTTCTTAAAAATTATTGACGATTGTCGATTAAAATATAATAAAATAAGAACAGCCGATAGTTTTGATTTGTAATTAATGTTTGTTAAGCGTCAAGTTATCGATCATACTTTTAAACTTCAATAATAAATTGTCTTTGACTATGATAAAATAAACAATATAGATAAAATAACAATATTTATGCCTATTTCCTTAATTTAGAAAGCCCCACTAAATTTCTATTTGTGTTGCAGATATATACATAAAACCTATATCATTCTCAATACAGAAACGACATTTCTTGCTGACCATGAGTAAAAAGATAAAACTTTAAAAATGAACTGAAACCGCTTTCAAAATGGATTTCTGATATTCCATTAAATGTCAATACTATTGAAGATTTATCTAACGACTATCCGGGACTATGATAAGATAGAGAAAACATGTTTGAAAATATTATAAAAGTCTTACCAAACAAAAAAAAATTGATACTTATAAATCAAGAAAAAATTCGTTTTTTATTAAAATGAAGATCAAAAATTGTAATTGTTAATTTTTAATATATTTAATAATAAATTATTTGTGAATATCAAAAGAATTGGGAAAACTTCTTCGAAAAAAAGTTTATAGATATAAATAAGAAGACTATATCTTCGCTTTTTGATAAATTTCTGTTATTTATAAAAAAATTCAATTAAACTTTTCTCAAAATTGAAGATACAAAATTGTCATTGTTAATATTATTAAAATTCACACCTTTGTTGAATTAAAATAATTGATTATTGATCTGTGACTATGATAAAATAGAGACAATAAACCGAATATCCAATATAAAATATAAATATGGTATTTCTTTTTGTAGCTTTTTGAGTTATTCGTGTTTATCATACAGAATTAAACAAAAATGTTCTAGAATTTAAGATAACAAATTGTTATTGTTAATGTTATTTGAATTCACACCTTTGTTGAATTAAAATGATTCAATTGCGTAATTATTTAACGATGCATTTCAAGTGATAAAACATGTTGAAATTTTACGTATAATTGCCAATTGCACTAATTAAATTAGATGGCGAGTTTTACAGCTACATAACACCAGAGTGCACACGAGTGAAGAATTAATTGCCAGATAGCTATAGCTATGCATATATATTTTTCAATTCATATTTGATAAGTGTATACACACAGATCGGATATTGTTTGGCACAGATTAAAAAGGAACCGAGCTTTTGCTGGGGGCACTCGCTGCTTTTTGATTGACACAGTTAGCAGCTAATAAGCACTTAATTAAATTTATGTTGCCCAAATGCTCACCAACACGAAGCGCAACTTTTATGTACCACTGAAACAGCCCCACCCCCCCCCCCCCCCTCCCCTGGCCCATATCCCCGCAAACCACACTCCTCGCTGTGAACTCGCGCTGGCCACATCAAAATAATGCAATTATAAAGTATTAAAATTATACGGCAAACAGAAGTGCGTTGCGCTGTGCTATATTGATGCTGCCAGGATGTTGTGGGCAGCATAAGGAGGCGTGCCACTAGCCTTTAATTTAACCCACCCCGCTCCCAAACCCCCCTCTATTTACCACCTATAATTACAGAGCTCTGATTATGACAACGTTGCGCAAAAATGTTTACTAATTATTTATAAAATATTGGTCGCCCTCTGTTTACAGATTTAGCCCCCTTTTCCAGTCAAGGCTGTAAACAGGAGGTGGGGGGGAAATTAGTTTATTAAAATAGCACACATTTTAGTACAATTTTCGCAAGTTTTGTTTGTTGTGGTTGCTGGTGTGTGTTTGTGTGTGTGTGTGTGTGTGCTCGTGGCTTTTTGTCCATTTAAATGGAAGCTGCAAATCATTTTCGGGATTTGCAGCAGGAAACAGAATTTGCAACATGGAATGCATGGACTTATAAGCCCTCCGACTATGCCACAAAAAGGAAGAGCATATTTTATGTGATTATTAACATTCCTCCATTAAATAACTGCATTTGCTGCACATTAAACTAATATTTGTGCGTGTGCTAATTGGCCTAAATGTGACTTTGGATGTTTGGCATTTTTAAAAGACCATCAAGAGTTATGGAAGCATTTCGTTAAGCATCCGACCATTAATTTTGGGTTCGGCGCGAGTCAAGCACAAACGGGAATTAAATATGCAAGGCAAGCACATTATTCACACAAATTATGGCCAGTCGATGCAGTTAACAAAATGTTAAACGAAATTTATGCATCAAGGAAAACAAGCAATGGTAAAATAAAAATAAAACTCAGTTTTCCCAAAAATTAATTTCGTTGGCAATTCGCAAAACATTTTGAGTACACTTAGAATTATAGTTAGGAGCATACAAAAATATAAAATTATATTTAGAATACATTTAAAATCCTTATTCCACCCGCAAGTGAGAAATAATTGCGAAACCCGTTTATATTATATTATAAGATCTCGGCTCAAATTCATTTAGGAGGTGTTTCTCCGCCGAGGTAAAAATGTGAGTCAAACATTTAGTGGCTGATGTTTCGGGTTCAACTTCATTTTTAAGAATCTTCATGAAAATTGCTGAACCGAAAAGTGAACGCTTCTTATATGGAAAATGTGGGGTTAAATGAACGAAAGCTTATTTTTATGCTTCAAGATTCTCATCACAAGACTAAAATGGGCGAAATTACAACTTGCGTTGATTGAAACTTTAAATGTTCTCTCTCGATGAACTTTTATAATGGGCAAGGCCGGGTAATACCCGCTAGTATAATATAAGGATATAATATAGACAATAATATAATGGCTTCTATCAGTATTTTACTGATAAGTAAGATATTGCACTTCAATCGGCTCGCAAAAGCTGATTTACCCATATTCAGAGCTCAACTTTAATTGTTTACAATAATGTGAAATTGAATGCCAGAACATCTTTAAATGCAAAAAAAAAAAACAGACAAAAACAGAAAAAATGAAACAAAAAGGCCCCG